CAGTGTTTATATATTATTCTTGGTATATGTAGTCCCTGTGTGGTATATTAGGATAAGCACTGGACCACAAGGTCAACTTGAACTGTAAGGTACAAATCCACCAGCTGCTGCTCGAAAACTCTATACAAGGTCACTATTAATCAAAACCGACTTGACAGCACTTAACAACAGCTTAGTAAGCATTTAAAAAATATATATGTGCACAGAATTCGCTTATCCTTGGGCAGCACTATAGGATAAGCCCTGGACCTCAAGGTCTGTTTGAACTGCAAGGTCGGTGGCTCAAACTCACACATCAGTAGTTTTTAAGAGTTTTTCTAATTTTAAATTGATATCTACCTTGGTGGTTATGTGCCGTGGAGTCGATTCCGACTCATAGAGACCCTTAGGTTCTACAAAATGAGATAAATTAAACTAAGATTGGTAGGGAGCTCTAAAGATGAAATTTTAGGTACATTTTTCAAAGGAAACCCTCATAATGCCAGCCATCACCAAGCAAGAAGGAGGGTACCAATAGCATTCCATGGCCAAAGGAAGCATTCTGAAAGTATGGAGCCAGTAACTAGGGCAGCAGGTTATAGAAATATCATGGGTAGGAAGCAAGTGTAACCTACTCCATGAAGGAAAGAATATTAGGATTTTTATAGATCTATATTTTTTGTTTTCCCTTGCAACGATGAGCCAACTATACGATTACATAAGTCTTCACTACAGGGATTTTTACCTAAGAGTATAAGGAGTCCTGGTATTGTGCTATATGATTAGCACTAGACAAAAAGTTCAGTTTGAACTGCAAAGTTGGCAGTTCAAACTCACCAGCCACTCTTCAGAAATCCTATATAGGGTTGCTGTGAGTCAGAAGCGACTCAATAGCACTAACCAACAACAGCATAAAGGGAAGTATTTTCCAATTTCCCACAGTCCTCTGGGGATTATGGAAACTTCACTATATTTTTCCACATGCCAAATGGCATCAGAAGATGTAAGTCAGATTGCCTTTTGCCCCTTCTAACCATCCTTGAGTCACAAACTTTACTTTTATTCTATCAGCAAAATTTCTTGTTTTGTCTTAATGCATTTCTATGTCTGTGTGTCCATGCAATTTACTAGGAATGAGACACATTATAGAATATAAACCAAGACAAAATTCCTCACATACTGAATATTTGGAGAATATAATCACTAGTGAAAAATATTTCCTGATATCAATGTCTTGGATTTAGCTTTGAAGATATTACTCAAACACACTGACTTTGCTAGGAAGGAAAAAAAAAAATCCATTTGAAGATAGTAAACATTAAAAAAAATTATGTGTGTGCACAAAACTCTCTTATATGAAAGATTAATTCTTTATAAAAATTGTGTATTTTGAGCATAATATGCAGCTGTGAGTTCTACCACGTGGCAGTTAGAATGAAGACTATTATAGATGCACTAAAATTTGAGATTCAGCTGTGCTGTGTCATGGAAAAGCCATAGAATCTGAGAGAGCAAGCAGGTGCATAAAGAATACATCTGGGTAACAAATAAAGAAGAGGAGTATTTAACTCTGTGTATCACTTCAGTGTCTTATTCATATATATGCAAATGAAATGCTCTAATTACCCTGCAAGAAAAGCAGATAAATGAATATATGACAGTGTAATTTTCCTGTTTGGTTCAATATTGCAAAAACATGGAAGGGACTGTCAATTGTCACCACCAAAACAGATTGGTACTTACTCCCTCTGATTTTTTGTCTGGATAGATGCAAGTCTCCCCACCAGATGTGAAATTACAGTAAACTTTGAAGGAATCTCCTGAACAACCTTGGTTAGGATCAATCCAATATTCACCTAAAAGATAGATTAAAAAAAAAAAAAATGTCATAAACAAATACATTAGTCCAAAATGAAATTGCATTAGGTATTGAACTATAGAAATAGAAAAAAAGAAAAAGAAATATCATTCGTTTTTTTCCACATGAATTCTTTCAATATTTTGAGAATGATGGAATGCAAATTTGCACAGTTAAAGAGTGCCTCTATTTCCTCCTACCCCCCAAATCTTTGTGCCTCATCCTGTGCCTGGATACCTTCTTATTTTTAACAGCATTATCTCTTTTAGGTTTCAACTTAAATACCACCTCCTCAAATATTATTGACATTGTAGGATAAGCACTGGAGAACTAATCATAAGGTATTCAGTTCCAACCCACCAGCTGTCCCTTGGAAATTGTATAAGTCAGAACATACTGGAGGGTACTTAACCATACTTTGTCACTGTTGTTAAGTGCCGTCAAGTTGGCTCCAATACACAGAGACCCAATATAGGATTTTAAAGGAGTGGCTGCAGAGTTTGAACTGCCAACCTTGTTCAAACTGATCTTATGGTCCTCTGCTTATCCTACAGTGCCACACCAGGACTCTATCCATAACTTACCTATATATAAAGAACTCCAAGCACATTGGGATCAGATACACTTGATCTCAAATCCAATATGTATTTTTTTTACCATTTAAGTATTTGAACTTGTTGTCTAGTGACATTGAGGTCTGAATCATAGTGATCCTATATAGGGTTTCTGAGGAGTGGCTGGCAAGTTTGAACCACCAAACTTATAGTACAAACCGACTTTGAGATTGAGTGCTTATCCTACAGCGCCACACCAGGAAACAATATATCTTATTGCTAGTTTATTCATCTGTGATAATTGAAGTGATAGTATACTTCTATATTAGTCCTCCCACACCTTGGTGTTTTGTTTTGTTTTGTTTTGTTTAATTGTGAATTATGTGATACTTTACATGGGAGAGTATTATATTTACATTCATCCTATCATATTTCGTTTCATTGCAATGATTACAATCCCACCATGCATCATCATAAACAAGCAAAAGGCACACCCTGCAAGCCTGCCCCCTGGCTGCCAGCACACAGCCCCTCTCCCTCCCTGAGTACAGAGTCTCCAGGCGTTCCATCTCTCCACATCATCTCTGCCTCCATCTCTCGCATCACTGCTTCTCTGGGTAAGTCCTGCACTCTGCTCCTCCCCCTTGATGGTCCCAGAGGCCTCCAATCCTGGACTGCAAAATCAACCACTCCCCTCATTTTGATACAAAATGTCTACCTTTACATTTTCAACCCTCACAGTCACTACTGTACCACAAGAGTCTTATCCCCATCTCCTTTCATCAGCCCTGTCCAGGTAGATTGGAAACCACTCAATGGAGATTCTACCTTCCCCTGCACCCTCTGGAAGTAGGCTCCTTTTGAAAGCTTGTAAACTAGTCACTTCTTGCCTTTGTAGGCCGCCCCCCCCCCCCCCCCGACACTTTTGGGTAGCCAGTGTCTAAGTTGCCCATCTCTGTCAAGGAGATGAGAATGACCCTTGCTTTAAAGATATGTTCCTTCTTTTGAGCTACTACCTCTATAACTATAGGTCAAGTTCATCAAATTATAGCAGATTACACTTTTTTTCCTCTTCTTTCGTCCTCTAGTTGAGTTCTGGTCATCCAGCCATTGAAGCCAGGTCAAGTGGGTACTATCTGCAAGTGTGGGTGTTCTTGTGCATCTCCCTTCACTTCATATCAGCTGGACACTTCATGCTCTGCTATAGTCCTCTGTGGCCATGTCACTTTCTCTGGGCCCAGGAATCCCCAGGTCTTGCCATACTGCTGGCCAACCAGGTCTGAATCTGGTTTCACAGAAGTCTACTGAACATGCTCAGACTTAGCTGGCAACTTCATTGCTGTTTTTCCCCCACTTCCCCTTATTGGTGACCAGTGTGGTAACCAGCCAGACCACATGCCTATCTGTGTATTCCCCTTGAGTCTTAGTCTTCAAAGAGGGTTTGCCCTGAGGGGACCAACCACTTG